CTCCCAGTCCCCCCCATCGCTCACCAGTCACTATCCAGTCGGCCCCCATCTCCCCGGCCCCCCTCTCCATTGCCCTCCTCCTGAGGACCCCGCACAGGGTGCAGCGGCTCCTCCCGCCCAGCGCCGGCCCCGCCTGGTCCACGGTGAGCCCGAAGAGCTCCCGGTGCTCCACCACGAGCAGGGGCAGGGGCAGGGCCAGGGCCACCTCCCTGAGGGCCACCAGGGAGGGCTCTCGGTAGCCGGCGATGCCCTCGTCCACGGCCAGCAGCGCCAACCTCAGCCCCAAATTGTGGCACCGATCCAACCGGGACAGAACGTGGGCCAGCACGGTGGAATCTTTGCCCCCCGAAGCCGCCACGGCCACCCCCTGCCCCGGTTTGGGGGTCCCCGAGGGGTCCCCGAGCAGGGCACGGAGGGTCTCGGCCTCGAAGGCGGCGACGAAGCAGCGGCGGCAGAAGGGGAGGAGGGAGCGGGAGCGCAGCAGGGACGAGGGGTTGGGGCAGCAGGAGCAGCGAGGGGGGGGCATGGCCGGGCCTGCAGGGGGGAAAAAGGGGGAAAAAGAGGGAAAAAGGGTCAGAGGGAGGCGGGAATTCCAACAAAAAAATGGGGATTTCCCATAAATGGGCGATTTTGGGCCTAAAACAGGTGGGTTTGGTCCTAAAATGGACCAAAAAATGGGTATTTTTAGCCCTAAAATGAGGGGTAGGTTCGGTCCTAAAATGGACACTTTTGGTCAAAAAAATGGGTATTTTCGGTCCTAAAATGGGGGGTGTTTTTGGTCCTAAAATGGGTGGTTTTGGTCCTAAAATGGATAGTTTGGATTAAAAAAATGAGTATTTTGGGTTCTAAAACTGGGGGGAGGGTTGGTCAAAAAATGGGAATTCCCCACAAATGGGGATTTTTGGGCCTAAAAAGGGTGGTTTCGGTCCTAAAATGGACATTTTTAATCAAAAAAATGGGTACTTTTGGTTCTAAAATGGGGGATGGTTTTGGTCCTAAAACTGATAGTTTTGGTTAAAAAAATGGGTATTTTTGGTCCTAAAATTGTGGGGGGAATTGGTCAAAAACGGGAATTTTTGGGCCCAAATGGGTATTTTCAAGTCCAAAAACGGGAATTTTCAAAAACGCACAAATTCAGTTAAAAAAAAAATAGGAATTTTTAGCCCCCCAAATGGTCATTTTTACACCCAAAATGGGTATTTTTGAGAACTAAAATGGTCTTCTTTAGCCAGAAAATGAGACTTTTTGGCCCCAAAATGTGAATTTTCAACCCTAAATCGGTAGTTTTGGACCAAAAATGGGTATTTTTGGCCCAAGATGGATGTTTTTAGCCCCAAAACGGACACTTTAAGACGCAAAATCAATACTTTGGGTCAATACATGGGAATTTTCTGACCAAAATTGGTAATTTGGGTCAAAAAATGAGTATTTATAGTCTCAAAACAGGTATTTTTGGACCTAAAATGGGTAGTTTTGGACCTCAAAGGGGTATTTTGGGTCAAAAAATGGGATTTTTAGCCCCAAAATGCATATTTTTGGGCCTAAAACGGACATTTTTAGACCCGAAGTTGGTATTTTT